GGGGGGGGGGGAGGGAAAGAAAGGAAAATCGACGAAGACAAACGACAAGAGAAACTCGAAGGGATGGTATGTGCGCATCGGAGACTTCGAAAATCGCCTGCTCCTACAGTACCCGTACGGCGTTATGGCGTTATGTACGCACCCTGTACAACTAGCGCCATGCTTTACAAACAGCGATTGCAAGCAGCGGTTGCATGCAAACGCGTTTCTCGACACAAACTCAGCCACGGCCACTCTTCCTTCCTGGCCTGCGCTCTCTTGTCTTCCCTTGTTCGGCCTTTCTTTCATGAAGTAAGTACATAGGCCTTTCCAAAAGTAACCAGCGCACCTTCCCGTTTGCTTACAAACCCCAATCAAAGCAAACAAGCCGTGTCTCAGACGGCTCTTCAGACAGTCAGTTCGTCACTCAACGAGCGCTCGCAGGCGCAAACCAGTACCAATCGACAAAGTAAGCCCACAGATGGGCGACACTAACTGTACATCGATAAACGAATCCTTCCTTTCCCATCGATTTCCATCCATTCCACCCCCAGCCAGTCAGTCAGGCAGCCATAAGCAGGCAACATGCAGCACATACATGCAACGAATTTGAGGACGACGGGGCATGAGGGACAGAGTTGCAGGTATATGGGTTACAGTTATGCAGACAAGCAGAGAATTCAGCCGTCTCCGAAGCATTTGCTGGGAGGGCGTCTGCGCAGGGCTTAGAGCACGAGGAAAAAGGAATGCCGTTCCAACTGGAGGTCCGAACGGGAGTCTGGCGTTTGGTTTCGTCAACCGCCGCCATCGAGGCGTCAAGGCCTTTCCTGCCCACCCTCTTGCCGTCCTTCTTCTCCTTCTCTCTTCTTGCCTTTCTTTCTCTGCTGACGACTGTCCAGTCGCTCCTGGGTGCTGCGTCTGCTCAGACGCTCGTCAGGTACGCCAAGGCAGTCACGAAGGCGCACGAGCAGCACGAGATTTCTCCCTGTGCTGTGTGTGGCTTCTGCCTCTCAGGTTTGTGGTTCGTGTGGTGGGCCTGAGATGGCCGACCCGTCCGACAAGGGCGGCACCGAGGCCAACGAGGCCGAGGTCACGACGGCGTCGGGTGGCGTGACGGGTGGCGTGACGGAGGAGGCTCAGCAGCTGTCCACCGCGGCGAGCAGCAGTGGTGCTGGCGCAACAGAGAGCGCTTCGTCAGAGGTGCCTGTCGGGCCGACCCTCTTGACTTGTCAAGTAGATAAGCACTTGTACAAATGAGAGACAGCCGCAAAGGCAGACGTACGTATGCGTTGAGACATCGAGACACGACAAAGTGAAAGAGCCAATACCAACGCAACGAATGCATTGATACATCCAGGTCAATCACGCATCGGTCCGTCACGATAACGCAGAGACACGTCGAAAAAATTTGGTGATGGGGGCGTCACCACACCACAAGCCAGACGACAGAGGCCCCAGGCAGAAGAGAAGGCGGCATCGATCACGGCTGCCAGCCGGGAAAGACTCGAAGAGAGTGTCGAAGTCCTTCTGCGCAAGGGCTTCAGAGATCTTCTGCTGCAGCCGGGCCTGCTGGCGTGCGATGAGCTGTGCGATAGGGGGGATGGCGACAGAGGGGAGGGATGCGGAGAAATTCCCGAGAAATCGATGCGGGCAAATGCTGCCGAGACGAGCCATTCCAGCTGGAGAAAAGAGGCTTCTGACTCGGGCATCCAGGGTTGCCCACGGAAACGATCCCACACATCCCTCACGGTCACGGCCACGGACCCCAAGTAAGCACCCGGCGCGACACGCGTAGACGACACCAGCCCGAAGCCCCCCAACCGGATGGGAAGCTGCACCTGCCGGTGTGCCGAAGTAGAGAGGGCGCCCGTGCGGTGGATGCTGGTGAACGCGGTGACCTTCGCAGCATCATGTGCACGGGCGGCCGCCAAGAGCGGCGGGGAGGGGGCGAGGAGGCGGCACCAGTAGAGGAAGCGAGGGGACCCACAATAGCGCAGGAGCAGGTTCGCCCCTTGCACTGCATGGTCCCAATCGTCGACAACAAAGGCCACGACGGCGTCGAGGAGGCGCTGATGCTTGGCGACGACCTCGTTTACGATGCGCTCGATGAAAGCCGGGGTGCCCATCGGGGCGGACAGGAGGATGATCCCTTTCGTAGACGCGCGCACACCTCGGCTCGTGATGGCCGTCGGAAGGTCAGCGGCCGAGCGCCAATGCGGAGACCACGCATGGCACTTATCCAGCCGCAGCACCAAGTTGATAGCGCGGAATTCAACGGCGGCGGCCGTCAGAAAGAAGGGGACGTCCCATTCATCCATACCCCCCAGCCCGTCATCCATGAAGCTTCCGACAAGCGCAGCCGGGAACTGCTCCTGCAGTCGACGGAGTGCCGGCTGCAAGGCGAGGCAGACAAGGAAAGGGCCCGCCACATCGCCCTGCTGTACGCCTTGACGGCTGTAGATGGTCTCGACGCGCCCGTCCTCCATCGTGTACCACAGTGGCGCAGCTATGCCGTAGAACTGCCAAATTGCAAGGAAGCTGCGGAGGCGGTTTCTGAGCATGTGAGCGTGTCAGGCATGTTGCCTTGACATCACCCATGCCCATGGGTACCAAGCGCGGCACAAAGTTCGCCAGATTCTGAAGGTCACCTTCTCCCACCCGACGCACAGCGCCACAGCCAGACCGCCTGACGCCAAGCTGTGTCGGCCACATTGTAGCCCACGACAACAGCAATCAACCGTCCATAGACATCAAGTCCCTGCGCGCCTCCCCTCCTTCTCAAATCGGCGAGCAGCTCCCAGCAAACACTCACTCGTGACGATTTCACTCTTCGTCAGCCCGCCGGCACTCAAGAACCACACCACTACAACGCCCTCGGCACGCCGCACACGGTGAGCGGTCACACAAGGGGTCAGCTGAGAACACGTCACAGACGAACACACATCCTCTCTCATGTGTTGGATTCACTTACCCATTGATTTCTCCTGATGCAGGTCATCATGGCGCTGGTTCAAGGTGGCATCATAGAGCGCACTCAATGACTCACAGCCTCACGTAAGCGCAAGCCACCATCTCACTCACACATCGACCTTCACCCATATTTGTACCACTTAAAGACATTGGATGGTTCTTTTCTCCCGACTGACCATGAGTCCTCCCATCGCGATCGCACATGATTGACGTCCGCTGAGTGCTCCACCATAGACGGTAGGCAGCGAGGGAGGGCGAGGCAAACTCATCCAAATATGTACAGACACAGATACACATGTATATACATATGACTCATGTATGTATGGATTTGTGTTCTCTGTGTGTGTGTGTGTGGTGTCATTACCCATCCAGGTGGTGCCATTGTACAGCTGAGCGGCCCCTCTTGTAGAGCCACGGGTTCCTCAACCACACCACCCCACCCCTCCCCTCCCTCTCTCTCCCCCTGACCCTCTCCCGATGGACGTCGACCAGCCCGCCCAGCAGCAGCAGCAACAGCCACAGCCAGAGCCACAGCCACAGCCACAGCAGCCACAGCAGCCACAGCTCCCTCGCCTCCGCCCACGCCCAAACCTCAAGACATACAAGGACGGGCGGGCCATCTGCCGAGAATTCTCTGCAATTGACCCAGTCGAGCAGCCTGCAGTCAAGCGTGGCCGCAAGAAATCATACGGGCGCCATTCTGTGGGCAGCATGGCCTTCCTGATGGCTGCTGGGCTGCTGGGCGAGGGCTGGGATGCTGCGCTGGGGCATGCGGAGGGGACGGAGGGCTGGCAGCTGCTTAGCGAGATGTTTGGTGTTATTGTCTCGCTGGAGAAGAACATCTTTACCTTCCTGGGCAAGCACAAGCCGCCTCAGACCACGGTCACCGTCACACGCCCTTTCAGCGGCCATGAGGGCATTGTCCGGGAGGGCCGCTGGGCGCGTGTGGGCGGTATTGCGACGCGCCGGGAGGCCGTCGAGGGAGTGGACTGGCTCCACCGGCTCACCCAGCCCGCAGATGCAGCACCGGAGCCGGCTGCGCCAGAGCCACGCGTCGACAGATACTTCAACCCCTCACGGATGACTTGATGTCCGCCGCTCCCCTCGCACTCGCCCAGCCACTCGCTGCTCCCGACCCGCCAGTTCCCGCGGCGGCTGGTGACGATGTGCATGCGGACGATGCACCGCTTGACGAAACAGCAAGTGCTGCTGACCACAGGGCGCCGCGGAGGTGCAGGGGTTCTATGTGGGTCAGCTGGGGATGGTGAATGACCCTGCCATGATGGCCGTGGTGATGGAGAACTTGTGATTCACTGCGTGATCGATGAGTGCTTCATTGCTTGACATTATATTGGACTGACTGAGCAAGACTGGACACATCAGTCACTCAGCCGGATGCACATTCAAGCGGTGGCTGCACGCGAGAAGGACCTACCTGCACCAAGACAATTTAAGCCAGGAGACAGAGTGCGAATATTCAGCGACGATGTGCCTAAGGGCCTCAGCAAAAAGCTCATATCACCATGGCGAATGGTAAGCATCATCGAAGAGAAAACGGGCCCAGTGACCTACAAAGTCCGACCCTGCACACAAAGGACCAAGAACATTAACGTTGATCGACTGAAAGCGGCACCACCACCGATGGCGGAATACATACCAGAAAGCCACTTGAGGAGAGACAGGAGGCAAACCGTCCTCAACCAAGATGCATTTCTGACTCCAGATCTGGAGGGTCAGCTCGCTGAATTCGCAGTCGGGCCAGACAATGTGCCATCGGCAAAGAGAGACACTCACGCGGACGACATCCCTGCAGAACAGACAAAGGAAAGACTTTCCTTCAATCCAGTTGAGCCTGACCCCAGCCTCATGGACACCGAGCCTGACCCTCGCTTTAATAAAGCCGTTTACCAGGAAGTGGAAGCCAAGAGACGTCACCAGGGCAGGGTGCAATACAAACGCAAATGGCGCTGATGGCCGCTCAGTTACGCGACGTGGGAGTACGAAGAGGACCTCAATTGCCCTGAGAGGGTCCAAGAGTTTGAAAACCGAGAGCAAGATACCGACCTTGATCCTCGAGACGTGCTGTTCCCGTCAGTTGACGAAGCAGTAAGGCTGAGACATTGCCTGGAGCTCAATCGCGAGCATGTGGTCAGAATCGATCGCCTTAATGCGAACGGCATCAAATTCACATATCTCAGCGAACCTACGAGACCGAAGAAGTCAAAGAAGGAGATTCTCATCGGGAAGTCGACCTTGTGCTCTCTTCGTGAGTTCTTGAAGAACTATCAGTGGGAAAAGGAGAGGGATGAGCGCGATATGGGGCCCGCCACACGCGACGGAGCGAACAACAGTCAACCAGGGCTGAACGTACTACAGAAACGGGAGAGTGGCATCTCCTCTCTCGTCACTGAATGCACACAGAAACAGCAAGCGACACCGTGTGCGACTTTTCAAAGGGATGTCTTCTTTGGTCAAGATATTCGTGTTTTCGTGTGGGCGAGGGGTGCATGTGCATGTGTGTGACTGAGTGTGAATGAATGTGGGCGTGCGTACGTGTTACATGATGATTTTGAAGCCTCCGAGTCGGGCGAAGCCCCAGCAATTTGCTGTTCACAAGAATGCCGGTCGGCGGCTGCAATTTGCCGTCGTCACCTGCATTCTTTCCATCACTCGAGTGCCAACAATGACATTGTGTGTTACGTTGAATCATCACAATAGGCGCGACTTGCGCTCCAAAGCTGGCCCTGTGGTCCGAAGGCTAGCATGTCTGCCCATGGGGCCAGCCCTGCAGGTAGATGTCCAGCCCTGTACTCACAAGGCCAGCCCTGCAACCAGAAGGCCAGCAGCCCTGCAACCAGAAGGCCAGCCCTACAACCACAGGGCCAGCCCGCAGTCACACGGCTGGTCTCTGCGGGACGAGTGAAGTGCTTCTGGAGCGTTTTGACTCACTGCAGGGCTGGCCCTACGGCTGCAGGGCTGGCTTTGTGGTTATAGGGCTGGCCCTGTGTGCAGGGCTGGCCCTGTGGTTGTAGGGCTGGCCTTCTGGTTGCAGGGCTGGCCTTGTGAGTACAGGGCTGGACATCTACCTGCAGGGCTGGCCCCATGGGCAGACATGCTAGCCTTCGGACCACAGGGCCAGCTTTGGAGCGCAAGTCGCGCTTATTTCATCATCATCGGAGTCGTCGTTTGACGCGAGCTTTGGCGAGCTTTTACAAATCTCCCGTGGAAAGGATTCCATCCATTGCCACACGGTTCTCCGCACGCCAGCAGCACACAGCAGACCCCCACACCTCAGGGGCGTCCAGGACGAGCGAAAAAAACTGTGAAAACAGCACCAGAAGCGGGGAACACACCATCAAGACAAACAGAGAGGGAACCAAAGCGACACTCCAGAAGGCACGCAGGAGGCCACACACCGGCGAACAAAACCCATAGAGCACGCTTGGCGCAAGAAGGGCAAAAGAAACGGCGAAAAACGCACGCAGAAAACACTGCCATTCGTCTGCCCCTCAAAGCGCACAAAAAAAGTTGCTTTGAGCACCCAATGCCGTCTCAGTAGCCAAACAAACAGCTTTGCAGGCGGAGGCCGAAAGCAACGGGGAGAAAGGGCACTACGAAGCCGTCTCCTCGACTTCTCCCGCCCTCTCGATGGGCCTCGCCGCGAATGCGGCTCGACGAACGGTTACGAGGGGGGAGGGGCCCCCGAGTAATGGGAGGCGATCGGGAAGGGACACCAGGCAAAATGTCGCACCAAAGTCGATTATAAACACTAAACCAGTGATCGCGATTGGCCACGGGCTGAGGTTTAGGGTAGATCGTGAAAGGGAGAATGCAAGAGCCACAACGATTTGACTGTATTTTGCAAGGATCCGGGAAGAGCGGATGAAGAGGACTCAGTCATTAGCGGTAGGACTTGTCCAGAAGCCGAGAATCGACTGTTTTTGATGGGTGATTGCAGTCAATGCACATCGTGTGAAGTCAGATGTTCGTGCGGACCATGCAATGTCGCCCCCTCCCCCCGTTCAAGGGGGAGGGGACTTCAAAAGACAAGCTTCAATGGATCAATGTTCATAGGTAGGAGACAATATGGCAGTGGCACTGGCACAAATATATTCTGCAGTTGGAAAGCCGTTTGATGACTCGTTGTGCTGGGGGGAGGGGAAGACAGACAAACTGGGACCTTGCACGCACGAGTAATGCCAGAAAGCATGAATTCACCTCATGCTTACTCCTCGATAGTGATCTCAGACTGGCGTCTCTCCACTACATTCCTTCACATCGTTGCAGGTCTCTCTGCTTTTGTGTCGTCTCTCCACAACATCGTCTCTCCACTACACATACAGGCTAGTGACCATTACACGGACCACTAGAGGGAGTCGTCGTCGTTTGACGCGAGCTTTGGCGAGATTTTGCATCCACTGCCCTGTAGCCCTCCGCGCTCTCCCAGTTCCAAGAGGCAAATGGCCGTATAGGGGCCCCATTTTTCCCAGATTTTCCCGCCAGGCCGTTCGGTTTCCGTTCATTGCTCCGCCGTCCTCCGACTCCCTCCATTGATGCACTGATTCGCTATCGACTGGGTCACCTGTCGGTCGTAGATGTGGGATTCCTACGGCTCAATGTACAGTCAGGCCATCGTAAGGCGTACTAGCCGAGCGATGCCTTGTGTGATCATGACTGTCTGAAATTCTAGACCCCGGCAAGGCCGGGGGATGCACACGACAGCCCTTGTCCGTTTTTCCTTAGTGGAGAACACGTGCGTGAAATCCATCTAATGAGGGGTATGACGGGCATGTGCAACTGCAGTGCCTGCCATGTACGTGTAAACTGCGTGTCTGTGAGCAGACTGGGATGGGCGACGTCGAGACACGTTTTGGTTGACGGTGTGGCGATGTCGATGTGGCACTGCGTCGCGGTTGGCTTGGTTGCAGTTGAAACGTTTGCAACCGCCAGTTTAACGTCGTTCGATTCGGACGATGACCTGAAAGCAGTGTTGCGTCGATGTGCCGTCGTTTATCTTCCTTGTTCTTGACTCGGGTCGGTTAGGCTGTATGCGAGTGGTTGCGCTGTCAGTAGCCATCATGGCCTCGTTCTTGGCCAACTTTCTGAGGGGCGAAACCACGACTCGCACGGGGGGCTCTGGCAGCAACTCCTGGGAGGTCGGGGCACCCTGCTCACGGTGCGGCGCCGAGAGTCATGGTGAAGACGTGTGCTTTACCAAGGGTATCGAGCTTCAAGACTGGAGGCCGTCCCAGCGGGGCCGGCGCGTACACGAAGCACGGAGGCGAGATCCAGCCTGTGAACACGAGGCTCCACGAAGTGTAAGCATATGTATTCCGGGGAGGCAAGAGCACGAATCGAGCGGTATGTCCAAAGTTTTTGATGTGCAACAGGCAAACCCTGTTGCCTGACTCGGTTGTGAAGCACATCCAGAAGTGTCCCAACGTGTGCTGCCCCGAGTGGGCAGGTCGTGGTCATGTGCAGCCAGTTGAACGAGGAGGCGATCATCACGCTCGGCCCGGAGGCAGGAGCCATGACGACGGGGGGGCACCACTGCTACATCGATCTCCAGCGAGCCAGGACGATTCTCAACAAGTGCGAGAGGGCATATCTCGACGGCGCCACATTTATCGCTGGGCAAGATGTTTGTGTAATCAGGTGAGTCACTGACAGTCTCCAAAGGGTGGACGCACTCAGGTGAGTCACTGAGAGTCTCCAAGGGGTGAATGCACTCACGGGGAGGTGCAGAAAATTTTTGGCCCATCGCCTCTCACATGAACCACAAGGACAGGGAGCAGAAAAACTGGATAGCGAGAGAATGAGCCCGCCTTGCAAACTCCCTCGCGCTAATGCACGACATTCCGAAACAACAA